CCCAAAGCCCCTTAGCTATAGGGAGATGGCGGAGACCTCCAGAGTGGGGATCCGGAATTCGGAACCCATGACGGAAGCCCAGATGGCGCTCGTACATCGTCACCTCATCGTGGCCCTAACAAAAATGGACGCGGAGGGCGATGGACCTGAATTTGTCGGTTTCAGCCACAGGACAGGATGGATACTGGTAACCTGCGTGAACCAGCATAGCCATGACTGACTTGTAGCTGTAATACCGAAGATGAAGCCATGGCCTGAAGCTCAGTTGACCACGATGTCAGAAAACGAGCTTCCAAGGCCGTCTACGGCAACGACTTTTGTACCCAAGACAGAGGCTGCCTCAGTTATTGAGGCATTAGCCCTGTTGAGGGTACAAAATAAAGGCATAAATCCTGGACTCTGGAGGGTCCTAAACGAGATAATAATATTAATAATAATATTTATTTCCAAAAGAATTTCATACATAGTTTTTTAAACTCAATATTACAATTGAGTAGCTTCTGTGCCTGAATGAGGTTCATATTCTAAACCTGAATCTCAGGCTCCAGCGCTCACTCCCTCATTATACGGTCCTAGTATAAGTATACAACATTGATGGTAATAAATATTTAAATCCATAATTGATCCATTTTAGTTTCAATAAATATAAATTGTCAATTAATAAATATTAATCAAATAGTAATAATAAAGATTAAAATCAACATAATTTAAGTTTGAGTTTGAGTACCTCTCGGTGTGTAAAAAATGGACGTGAGTGAGTGTGTGAGAGAGGGTGTGTGAGAAGTGGAATTAACATTTTATCTTTATACTAAAATCTTAAATTAGTCAGTATTCACTTCCACAGCGATAACAGCATAGGCAGATGATCAGAATAAAATTATTCCTAAGCCAGTTGCTAAATATTAGTTTTCAGCATTTCTTCGGTTTCCTCATAGTTTAATGTTTTCAATAGTTCAATAACAGCCGCCCTACAGCTAGACCTGCTCATTGGATAAATGTTTATAATTTTATTTATCTTTTTGTATAGGAACGGAGCTAAATAACATTGATGTTTATTAACATACGAATGTTTAAACTTAGGTAAGTTGACTGTGAAACGGCGACGTAGACTATTTGTATTTGGGTTGAAAATTAGTTTCGAGTGGTATGTTAAGACTGCATGTAGAATGAATAATTGACGAACTGAAAGGACATTACATAACTGATAAAGATCACGTGTTGGGAACAAAAAGGAGCGGAATGTGCTCACTTTCAACACAGCCCTTTGAGCCCGTTCCAACTGCATCAAAGAATCCTTAGTTGTACCACCCCAAGCTTCTATACAGTATGTTAACAATGATTGACATAAGGACAAGTAAACACTCGATAATAGTTTACTTATACAGCGACGTGTCTCAAAGTTTTAAAAATGTATATCAATTTTCGAACTCTAGCAGTTACATTTTGTATATGTGCGTTAAAATTGAGCCTATAATCCAACGTAATACCAAGGTATTAAATGTTTTTAGTGTTCGATAATTCTGGGCAGTTAATGCAGTCTCGGTTCCGAGTTAAACAGTCATGAGCTATTATTTTCTGGTTTGGCTTTCGTTTGTGTGGTGTTCGCATAGAAAACATCATATATTTAGTTTTGTCAGCATTTAAGGTAAGAATGTTCTGGCACAGCCAGGAGCACACCAGATCAAAGCCTTTCTGTGCCTTGAGAAAAACCCTTTGCCACGAAGCTGCAGAAAATAACAGAACAGTATCATCGGCATAAGATATCATTTTCCCATTAAATGATGATAAGTTACAAAGATCGTTGATGTATATGACAAATAGAGTTGGGCCTAATATAGAGCCCTGAGGAATGCCAAAAGAGACAGGTTCTTCCTTGCTAATGAGGTCCCCAAGTATCGTTGACTGGTATCGATCAGATAAGTAATCTCGAAAAAGCTGTAGTTGGACACCTCGTACTCCCAATACTTCAAGTTTGTGTAAAAGAATGGGAATAGAAACCGTGTCAAAGGCCTTCGCGAGATCGAGGAAAATGCCAATGACTTTCTCTCCCCCGTCCAACTTCTCAACAATGAAATTAGTTAGCTCGGAGACCGCATCAGAAGTAGACCTACCCCTACGAAATCCAAATTGGTTAGCAGAGAGGAGGTTCCTGGTCTCCAAGAAAGAAATTAATGCTTTATTTAAGATCTTTTCCAGCAATTTTGACAGAGCCGGGAGAATTGATATAGGTCTGTAGTTATTTACAGAGGCCTTGTCGCCGCCCTTATAAATGGGATGGATAAGAGACTTTTTAAGGGCCTTTGGGAAGATACCGTGTTCCAAACATAAATTGAAAATAGTGGCAATAGGACGGGAGAGAATGTGTTTATATCGCTTTAGAATATAATTTGAGATACTATCCCATCCAACAGTGGAGTTGTTTTTTAGTTGGGTGATGAGGAGGTTGATCTCATAAGCGTCCGTTTCCAAAAGTACTAAAGAGGACGTACAACTATTCCCTGCAAGAGTTGTGATAGAGCATGGATCCATTCCATACTTTTGGTAGTTATAAGTGGCTAAATTCTTACCAACATTCACAAAAAAGTTATTAATATTGTCCAAAGATTGAAGAGGATCAGCTTTTTGTAACAATTCGGATGCACAAGTTTTTTGTTTATTTATATTAGTAATCCTCTTTATAGCCTCCCATAATTTCTTGTTGTTATTTCCAGCTGTTTTTAGTTCTCTTCTTTCATATTCTCGTTTAAGTTTCTTTATCAATTTATTGCAATAGTTACGGAATCTTTTAAATGTAGTTTTTAGGTTAAAGTCTTCTGGATTTGATTTAAGTTTCAACTGCATTCGATCTCTATTTCTTATACAACGAAGCAATCCAGGCGTTATCCAATGTTTCAGATTTTTTTTACGTCGTGGGATTGTATGAATAAACGAATGTTTCGAAACGCTATTTTGGAGACATGAAATGAGATATTCAAGGGATATGTTTGGGTCAGTAGACTTATAGACTGGTTCAAGATCAATTCCCTCTATCTCCAAGTCCAAGCCAGCGTAATCTATTACTGTTTTGGAGGGTGGCCGCTGTAATCGATTCATCGTTTTACGAAGACACAGCATTGCCGAATCATGGTCAGTGAAAGTGGACTTCATCACAAAAGCAAATGAAGATCGCTTGGACTTGAGGATTATGTGATCTAAGCACGAACTGTCTCTAGTGGGTAAGTTGTGAGCAGGTAGCAGCCCATGGAAGGCACAAATGTTTAAGTACTCATGTACATAGCTGTCACAGCTTTTCATATTAATATTAATATTAATATCACCTATCACAACTATATTTGCAAAAGAAGAGAGATCCGATAAAATCCGATTCAATGAATTAAGAAAAGGACTCACATTTCTGAACGAAGGAGGGCGATATATAGTTACAATAGCAGTGTCGCCACCCAGCTTAACAATTAAACAGTTACATTCATCGAAAATTGGTTCGGTTACGTTATGTTGTAAACATGATTTTGTATAAACAATTAAACCATCGTTTTGATTATAATTATCAGTCGTGACATATGAACTGTAACCATCCAATTGCGGGAGGACTGATGTTTCTGATATCCAGCCCTCTGTTAGTGCAATGACATCACAGTCGAATCCAAGTCTATTGATGTGCACGGGAAACATGTCGATGTTACAGGATATACTCCTTATGTTCTGAGTCATAACTGAAAGGTATTTTGAAGGATTATTAGATAAGTGTCTAATGCAATCTTCGACATTACATAATATGGGTTCTGATATGGATATATTATCCATATCTGCAATCATACTGTTTTCATTCATTAATTAATACAAGATAACAAGAAAATATAATGAGACAAAAACACTAAACAAACGGAAAATACCCATACCCACAGTTAAAACAATACAAGAGAGTGCCATGTGCAAATATCCATTTGCTAATAATGAATAGTCGAACACGCCCACACTGGGAAATTAGAATTACTCGTTCAATACATCCCACTTGAAAAAGTTTTTCAAAGTTATAACTATAAAATGACATATTAACCATGCATCTGATCCTTTTAAGATAATATCGCACACCTAGATCTAAACTGAAACAACTCAAAAAACCTTATTTTTCAGGAGAAGAAAAAAACGTATAACTACGTTTTTTGTTAGGAAACTTATTAAACTCAATTCTATTTAAGATCATAAAAAGGTAGTGAATTGGTACTGTATATAAATTAGGTCTCAAAATTAATCCTTTTAAGTGATTTTTGCTATTTTTTGAGTTGTTACACTTTAGAATAAGGCCTAGGTACAAAAATTAAACCATATTTAGACTTAAAACAGTTTTCATTGAACATTTTGAGTTAAACCTTTTTTTGAACAAAAAAAAAACAAGTAATTCTTGAAACAAAACCATAATAAATGATAGACAAAACACAAAACATTAATCAAAAAAGTTATGCTTTGTTCTTTCATTAAGTAAATTATTTTTATATACTAATCACAACTCAAAAAAAAATTCTAAATTAATAATAATTAACAAAATATCAATTTTTAAATGTTAAAATTAAAGTAATAAAATAAATATTTGTGTTTAAAATATTGTGGCTATTAAGCCTTACAATTTCTTATTCAAGAGATATTATTATGTAGTAAATTATAACAATATATCACAAAATATCAGTCTGGAAATGGTAATACTACAGAAAAAATAAACATTCTAAACAACAGTTTCTTAGACTTATAAGATTTTTTTCTTAACAAACATAAAATTAGTATTAATTCTTAAATAAACTTCTTAGAATAATTTTAGTATTGCACTTATGAGATCAACATTTGAATTAGGGTCATTTATATTATAATTGTTATACCCAATAACAACCCAGTCTCTTATTATCCAGTAAATAATCGACAGGACAATGAAACATTACAAATTAACTAAAAAAAATAAGAAAGAAATTTTTTTTTGTGATAGACACTTAAAATTAGTTTTAAAACAGTCAAATATTACCCATTACATTTTTAAAATATGAATCTACGTATGACTGTGGTATAGCATGTTTTCTTATAAGATCTGTAAGGTCTCTTATTTTTGTCTCAGGGAGGGGTATTTTTTGTGTATAGGCTTGTCTAAGTCCCGTAAATATTATCTGACCAGTTCGGCGTTTGCGCACTGATACTTTTTTATAATCATCATCTGCAAATGAGGTTTTATAAAAGAATGCTCCCGGGTTGTCTTTTTCCACTCGTAAGATTTTAATATCGTGCCATTTAACTTGATTACGGTCTTCATCTAAAGTGAAATTGGTACCCCACTCTTCTTGCAAGATTTTAGTGTCATAAAACTTTACAAATGTCATCTCTTCCACTTGGTAAGGACTACCCGACTTTTTTGCTGTACGAATTAAAGTGCAATATTGTTGCGGAGTGTATATTGGACCAGATCTAATGTGCCTTTTAATTTGCTTTTCTATTACACTATGAACGTTGTCGCCCTCATTTTGAGAATGACCACGTATAAGAAATTTGTGCGTTATTGACTTTACTCTTTTAGTAGCAACGACATACGCATAAACAGAAAGTAAAAACGTATTTTTTTGCTGTCCACAACAATTGTCTGAATAAAAGATAATATCAATATCTTTGTCAGGATGCTTTTCTAATAAAGTGTCAACATACTTTAGAACACATGAGCCTATTTCTACAGCGCCCCTTTTACCTTCCGTCTCATCCCAAAAATAACATATTACATCTTTTGCCTTCAAATCACTTATGGTAAAATTAAAACAATTGATTCTAGATTTATAGAAAAATAATGAAATTTGACCCTTCGGAACTTGCATAACAGCTTGTAAATCATATACAGCTGTAATTACTGCGTCATTTCTATTCTTGTCTCTTTCTTTATGGTCCCTTGCAATTTTTTTTTCTATAAGATGTTGTTCATAATTTTCTCGTATTTTCAATTTCTCTTCCTCTTTGGCATTTTTAAAGCCCTCACAAAGGTCGCAAAGGTCCTTTTTCGGCATAAAAAATGAAATATTGAATTCTGTATTGAATATCCTGTTAATGTTGATTTCGTAGCGAAAGGTAATTGTTTGTGTTCACGAGCTTTTTTATAATCACGGTATAAGTCAGCAAGTGATTTGTCACTACAAATAAATTCCCGTGATGTCTGCGCTCTCAAGTAATGAGACTCAATCCTGGGAATAGTATTAATAAATTCGACAACACTATCTTTAATTTCAGCATTAATTTTGGGTTGATTACCGTGTTTCCCTCTTAAATCATTGGCTATAATACCGGAAGTATTTTTTTTGGAAAGTGCAGTTGTAATGGCTGTATTACTCAAATCAAGTGTATTCTTAAAAAAAGCTTTACATACTCTAATTTTATTCCCAGCAACTTCAAAGTAAAAGGCTCTATTAAGACTTCTATATTCCTGTGTGCTAGAATACCTGTATTTTGGTTTAATTTCTTGAGTATGCCTTACTACATACTCCCTCTGCTTATGAAGATTAGCTAGGCCCCAGTAAGCATCAAATAGGGTTTGTCTTGTTTCTTCGTTTATCTTCGTAATACAACGTTGTCTGCATTTTTCGCCACAAGCCGTGCGAATCTTCCTACCAGAAACAATTTTCTTTGTTTTTGACATAGACTGATAAGCCTTACCTGAATTCCTTAGGAATTTACATTTATTAGCTTTCCATTCCGATTCTCTTCTTAGCCTCTTCTTTCCTTTTTTTGCTTCTTCATTGGACTGATCATTACGTTCTTCATTACTTATGTCTTGCCTTCGAGTTTGTGTAACAGTCTCGGTAATAGCCGTGGTTTCAATTTCAGAATCAGAACTACTACTAGAAACCGATGTGTGGGGTATACTGCTATCACTTGAGGAAGAAAAAGAAGATTCAGGAACTACTTTAGGGCGCAAGTTCTTCTTTTTTTGCCGAACATAGCTTGGATCAGTATCAGAGTCATCAATAAAACTTTCTTCACTTGTCGAAATAACTAAATCATTATCGATTTGCCGGCTGTGGCATGGTTTAGATAGCATGGAATTGTTTGTTGGGCTGTTTTCTTTATTTTCTTCTTGTGCTTCTATATTCAGAGACGTCGCTGACTCTTTTTCTTTAGCTGTCACTGGATTCTCCTTGTTTCGTTCTTTTATAATGTTAACAAGAAGACGGCCTCTCTTCATTTTTTCTGAAAAGTGAAAAGTGTCTCTAGTCATTTTTACGTAACCAACAATAGCAAGATAACTCAAAGAGTTTTTTTTAAATAAAGTGGGACATAGTTTGAATGAAAACAAAATAACTTTTCAAAAGATATGACATAAAGTACATGATTTTTTAAGCAACACTTGCAAAATGTCATGTTTGATATTAAAAATCATTAAAATAAATTTGTTCCACGAAAAGTAAGTTAACTAGAAATTTACATGTTGATCCATCAAAACAAAGTCAATACAAAATAACGACAAAATGTTTACTTACCTTATCAAACAAAACTGGAACAAGTCAAAACATCCAGAAGTATTAGGACAAAACAATTCACCAATACAGTAATAACTCAAATTAACTAATGTATAATTTTCAACAAAACTGTAACAATTCGAAATGTCCGCAATTTCGTTAAAAAAATACGTGCACACCCTGAAACTAGTGAACGGCAACTGATAATGCATTGGTTTAGGGGGGAGGTGCGCGACAAGCGTTGATTCAACAAAAGGAAGCTAAAGCCATCTAGCGGCTCATCTGTGGTACCTTTATTAAACCTGTTATGTTGGATAGATGCGTACGATCTCAGAGTATCCGAATATTATACTAACTCAAAACTCACGATTTTTGAGTTGTCTCAGTTTAGATCTAGGTGTGCCATATGTAGGAATGAATTCCATTTGCTTACATACAAATGTCATTAGAGTGTATTTGTGTATAGTGTAGATAGCATTAACAAGCATTGAATTATTAATATAAAAGCAAAAACAAAATTGAGGGAACATAATCATGCGAGATATTAAAAATAAAAATAAACAATAATAAATCTTAAATATAGCCAGGTATAGTCATTTATAATCTTTAAGAAGATTATTGAGTGTTTCTTCTTTGTCGATTCGAATCAGCTGAGCTCCTTCTTTCTTCTTCATATAAATTTTTCCATGTGAGATCCAACAAAATTTGAATTGATTTGTTCTACAAAAATCGCGCGCAGAATAAAAAAGCTTTTTTCCTTCAAACGTAAGACACTCAGAGATAAAAATTGGAGAAAATAATTGGTCTTACTACATCCGATTTACCAAAGGGACGATACACATCCCGTATATCGGAGCCCTTAATGTCAAGCTTTAAAGACTGGCCTATATCGATAACTATCTGGGATAATGATTTTTTATTTTCATTCTCGAATTTAGAAATATTTCTTATTTCTAATTTAGTGGCGTTGGAACTTCTTTCTAGTACTTCGATTTAATTTTTTAATTCGAGTATATTGTCATTGTAATTCTTACGTTCATTTTTTAATATTTCTAATTCCTCCAATAAATTATCGTATTTAGCTGATAGAAATTCCATACTAGTTTGTATTCCAGCATTTTGGGCCTTAATCTCTGTTATTGTTTGTTGCAAGGTACTTAATTGGCTATTTTGTTCCGAAATAAAACTAGCGATCATTGTACGGACTTCATCCATAAATTCATGTAATTCATTTTCACGTCTTCTTTTCTGACGATTTGAAACCCGATGTTGAATATCTCCCGCGTCTTCATAGGTACAAACAGTTTTACTTTCGGAGTCCATTTCGGACTGTGACAGTTTCGGTGGGGTCCGCTTTAAGGGCATAATAAGCACGGCGATTACAAGCGCTAAGCAAGTACCAGGGTCGTAGCGAAGCAAGGCGGTAGCAAAAGCAAATTAATAGAAAGTGACTCACTGTCTATACGCAGCAGCTAGAAGGCGTGTCCTGTTTGCTAATTGGTGGCGCGCTTAACTCCAATGTCCTTGACCGCAGCTAGCGTTGCGTCCTTTCACCAGTGATGAGTCGTTACAATAGGTGGGAGGGACAAATGATCGAAGCGGTGGGAGTCGTCGTTGTTGCACTGTTATTTCACCTCCTGCACGTCTATGCGCTCCTATATTTTTTTTTATTGATTTTTATCTTCTGAAATGTTTAACTTTTGAAATTAATATAAATAAAGTCTTGGAATACGTCTGCTCGCTTACGAGGTCCGGAGGGAAGAGAGGAGATGGAGGAAGGCTTGTCACCTTCTCCATCGACGAACCTTCCGTTGAAGCCCTCAAAGAGAAGGATTACTGGGTGACCCTCGGATTTAAGAGGGTTTACTTCAAGATCAAGGGCGACCATCAGGCCCCTCAGCATCTACAGTCTTCTTCCGAACCACTTCCTGCCGCCGAACCAACGCCATCGACCAGCGGCACACAGAAAACGGGGTGGAAGAGCGCCGGTGGTCGTGGGCGGGGGCTGGCGACGGAAGGGTAAGCGTGCAGCTGGAGTGGCAAAACCCCAAAACCCGAACGCTAAAGCGCGACCAACGCCTCTAGCGGGAGGATCACGGGGTGCCGCGAAAGCTGCCAAACGGGGGAAATAAAATGGCCAACCAGGGGGCTCGGGCAAGGATTCTGCAAGCAAACCTCCAACACGCCGCTGCTGCATCCGCAGTAGTGGAACAGTGCTTTGCAGAACGAAAGGTCGACCTTGCCCTGATTCAAGAACCCTGGGTGCATAACTCAACCATACTGGGACTCAAAGCCGCTGGTAAGGTGCTTTATAACATTGATGGCTTGAAACCCAGGGCGTGTATTGTTTTCAGCAAAAACATTAACTATTTGCCTGTTACAGAGTTGTGCACAGATGACCTTGTAGCAGCATTTGTCAATCTCAAGGGATGGAACGGGCCCAGAGTGCTCGTGTGCTCGGCCTACCTGCCTGGAGATAAAGCTGATCCGACTGCTGAGCTCACACTCGTGGTCGACTACGCCCGGAGACATCATGCTGAGCTGCTTGTGGGGTGCGATGCGAACGCCCACCACACCGACTGGGGAAGTACTAACATTAATGACAGAGGTGAGTTATTAAACAATTACCGAGTAACCAATTGTCTTCAAACTTTAAACAATGGCTGTGAACCAACTTTTGTAACTAGGACGAGACAAGAAGTGCTAGATATTTCTTTCGCCACTAACAACCTGGCCAGGTATGTAGAAAACTGGAGGGTTAGTAACGAAAATTCAGTGTCGGACCATAAGCATATATGCTTAGAACTAACATCGGAACTAAGTACACATACTAGTGCATTTAGGGATTCTAAGCGCACCGTCTGGGATGAATACAACAAACGCCTTGTACGGAACTTAGAAGTAATTCCTGAATGCATTAGAACGGTTGAGAGCATTGAATTCGCGGTAGAAGCGGTCTCTAATGGCATTAAAGATGCCTTCGAGGCTAGCTGTACACCCAAAATCAAATCATCCAAACGGAAAGTACCGTGGTGGAACTCAAAGCTGAAAAAGCCTAGGGAGAAAATACGAAACTTATTCAATAGGGCCAAAATCACCCATGAATGGGATGCCTACAGGATGGCCCTAAACGAATACAGTAAACAAATTAGAAAAGCCAAGCGGTCATCATGGAGAAAGTTCTGCGAGGAGATAACTAATACGCCTCAAGGAGCAAGACTTCATAAGATCATGGCAAAGGCACACTGTAATCCCTTAGTTCTCCTTAAAAGACCGAACGGGTCCTTCACGACTAACGAGAAGGAAACCTTGCAGCTAATGGCTATCACCCATTTTCCAGGATCTACTGATAATGCAGTAGCGATCACTCTTCGAAGACCTCTACCAGAGGACTGGAGAAGAGCCGCTCTCGTTATCAGGTCTGGAATAGTGAAATGGGCCATTAACTCGTTCAAACCTTTTAAATCTGGTGGAATTGACGGCGTAGCCCCGGTGCTTTTACAGCGGGGTGCCGCCAATCTCATCCCTTATCTGGTAAAAATCTTCAGAGCCAGTTTGGCCTGGGGATACATTCCAGATCCGTGGACTAAGGTGAAAGTTGTGTTCATACCTAAAGCTGGAAAGAAGGACTATACATCACCAAAGTCCTTCAGGCCAATCAGCCTTACGTCATTTCTTCTGAAGACCATGGAGAAGGTATTAGACAATTATATCAGACAAGAGAGTCTCATCAACAAACCCATACATGATACCCAGCACGCCTACCGAAGCGGCAGATCTACGGAGACTGCCCTACTAAACCTTATAGACAAGGTTGAAAAGGCACTGGACGATAAAGAAATAGCACTCGTTGCTTTTCTTGATGTGGAAGGAGCGTTCGATAACACGCCCACCGAGACATTAGTCCATAAAGAGATTGACTCCACTACAGTAAAATGGATAAGAGCCATGCTAGAGAGTAGGACAGTGAGGATGGAACTACTCAACGATTCACTAGAGTTAGCAACAACAAGAGGATGTCCGCAAGGTGGAGTACTTTCTCCGCTACTGTGGACTCTTGCGGTGGACCAGCTTCTCCATAAGATGGCTGAACTCCGCTTTGACACCCTGGGCTATGCCGATGACCTGGTGGTGATAGTGAGAGGAAACTGCCAAAGTATGCTATCGTACCTTATGCAGAGGGCGCTGAACACAATTAACTCATGGTGTAAAGACAATAATCTGTCGATTAATGCAGGCAAAACCGTGGTCGTCCCATTCACAAGGAAACGGAAACTGGATAATCTTTCGCTTCCGACCATGAATGGGAGGCTCATTCCGTTCTCGACAGAGGTCATGTAGCAAGGGGTAACACTGGACCAGAAACTTACTTGGAACGTACATGTAGACGGAATTATACAGAAGTCTAAAACAGCTCTGATGATATCTTGTCGGCTAGCGGGAAATAGATGGGGCTTGAAACCCAATATAGCCCTCTGGTTCTTCACAGCCATCATAAGGCCGATGGTGTCTTACGCCTCGGTGGTTTGGAGTAGAAAAACGACACAGAGTACTATCATATCAAGACTTAACAGTCTGCAAAGGACTGCTTGTTTTATAGTAAAAGGAGCCAAGTTTTTTTTCCCCGACCGCTGCCCTTGAAGTTCTGCTAAACCTGCCGCCCCTTTTTTTTTTTTTTTTTGACGGAAGGAAATGCATGAAATTGCATACCCGCTTCCACAGCGCGTGGTCCACGGGTGATGTGGGGCTCTCCCCGGCAGACGGCCCACTAAAACCTGCCGATGTCCCTCACAAGGAAGGCGGCCGTGGGATCGGCCGAAGCCATTCACCACAGTACCGCCCCCAAAGAACCCGCCCTGACGGGGCAGGTTCCCTCTCGGGTTAGGGGGGAGGCTCAGGAACATTCGAGTCTCACCCCCCAGACAGGACAAGGGGCGTGCAATGTCCGGTAGCGCGCAAACCACCAGACTGCCCCTCGTCAAGGACAGGAGACACGCAACTGTGTCCCTCCTGCCCTAACGACTGTCTCGTGGGGACACATATGAGTTGCCCCACATATGCCCCTCTCCCCGATAGCCCCGGTGACCTTCCCTCCTCCCCGGTACACCGTTCCTTAGTCGCGCCCATGCCCGCGGCCCCACCGGCGCCCGATCACCCCACACACCGAAACAGTGTGTGTTGCAGTCGGGCACCGACGACCCCGCGGCCATGGTGCGAGATGGAAAGCTCCCTCCCCCACATACGTAGGTTGAACTCCCTGGTTCCCCTCACTACCAGCCATCCCGCTCCACATCGGCAAGCCAGAGGGTTAAGGTAGGCTGGTAATCTTCGCGGATTTTGAGCCTCACATACGGTCGTACATAAATGCACGGCCGCCATGGAAGGCCCGTCCTCCGGTCCGCACGGGGAAACGCAGGGTACGGAAGCCTGTGTTGTGCGGTATCGTCCGCAGCGCCGCACTCATGGCAGATCGGTGTAGTTTCCCTCTTGATTCGGTACAGATAATGACCGAAGCACCCATGCCCGGTCATTATCTGCACCAGACGGAAGGTTAGGCTTCCGTGCCGTCTATCGCACCAGTTCTCGAGAACGGGACGGATGGCTGCTACAGTTCGGGTGCCGAACTGTGCGTTATCCAGTAGGTCCAACCATTGAGATAGCCGTAGGTCCTCTGAGTCTCTCCGGGTCTGGAGAAGGCTTTCAGGGGTGGGTCGCTCACCCCTGTTTCGTGCTACCTCGCGAGTGGAGTGGATGCTCGCCAGGATACGAGCATCCAACTCCCATGGAGGAGTGCCGGCAAGGGCGCACGCCGCCGCAAACGAAACAGTACGATACCCCCGTATTGTTCTGTTGGCAATTACTCGCTGGGGCCTGCGCAGTAGTACTCTGTTGGTGGCGTCCAGTTTGTCTATCCAAACTGGAGCACCGTAAAGCGCCATGGATCTTATTTCCCCAGCGAATAACTTTCGGCATCGAATCCCAGGACCTCCCACATTGGGAAGCATTCTTCCCAGTGCAAGAGCAATCTTCTCAATTCTTGGCGCCAGCCGCTGGAAATGATGATGGAAACTCCAGCGGCTGTCCAAGTACAGTCCCAAGTATTTGATGTTTTCTTTAAATGGGATCGTGACTCCGTCTAATATGAGGCAAGAGTTTGCAGGGGGTCTGCGCCTGGGACCATGGAAGACAACGACTTCGGTTTTTGTAGTCGCCACTTCCTGTCCCAGTTTCCGTATCCTGTTAATTATCAGGTCAGCTCTGATTCTTGCTAGGCTGATCGCAGAGAAGAAGTCATTACCACGCACAACGATCAGTGTGTCATC